CATTCTACAAGGCTCATTTACACTATTTTCTGATCTATGTTATAATGTTGTTTCCTCACCAAAAACATACTTGGAGTTGTGTTTTGTTTCATTCACACATGTTTAACACACAAATCCTGAATATTTAGGCTACGATGTCATTTGATAAAACAGGAATTGCTTCATTGTGTTTTTAAACTCTATACACCTTCACTAGAATCGTTTGGATTAGTTTTGCCATCTCTACTGCACTAATGATAAAAAGTAGCCATTACCTTGAAAACTGCCACTGCATGACATCACAAAGTGGAACAGAGCATTTTGAGCTTTGGAGATGTAGACAGACTAAAAAACAAAGAGTTACTCGAATATGTGTGAATGAAATAAAACCTAACTCCGGGTTTAAAGTATTGTATAATAGGACCTTTATGTCAATAAATAAATAAATAAATAAATAAAAATAACGAAAAATCTACAGACCATGAATCAATAGGCTGTTATGTCAATGAATTCTCAGTAGAACCATTATCGAGAAAAGAGAGAATTTTACAATAGCAGTGAATCACAGCCCTATTCTGAGCTCAAACCTAACCAGCACAAAAATAACAGTACAAAAACACAGCTCCAGACAAAATCCTATAATATTGTGTTTCTGTTGTGTAAGCAGGAAAGCAGATCGGTTGACCAGCCAAACACAAACTTTTGGAGAAAATGAGTGGTGATGACAGATAATTTGTCTTATAAAAATGTTGACAACAGATAGAACACTTTTGTTTTGCTTGCAGCCAGAAAATGTTGCAAACTAATTTATCTCTGTCGTTGTGTGCGTATGGTTCATTTAAATGGGAATTTAAACGAAAAGAAAAAGATATCTCTCATCTCTCTCTCTCATCTGAACAGCAAATCTGAACCTCACATTAATCAAGATCTGATAATTCTCAAGGACAAAGACAAAACAAAATCAAAGAAAAATCATCACAAGAACACGAAACAAAATCAAACATTCAAATCTCACTGTAGAAAATCTCCATGAAGACAATTTTGTGATCTTTTTTCTTCCTTTCCTTTATTCAATTTTTATCACAGAGTATCTTAAAAGTTTTTTTCCCTTAGAGCCAACCTTACAGCGCTAAATAAGACACTTTCTATTTGACTATTTAGACCTTTTTGTCTTTTACGATACAAAATACAGAAACAATAAAGCCTAAATAATTTTAATATTTCTGAAATGTGTGTGGGGATGAGGTAACTAAACAGAATAATACATGTGTGAATGAAATATAAAAGTAAAATGATGAAATGATGCCCATGTTTGGTAAGGTATTTGACTTTGAATATCTGCGTGGTTCAATAATGATCGTTAGTTGGCACAAATAACAAACAGGAGTAACATGCTTTAAACAGAGAGCGGAAAAACATGAGTTAAACGTGAAAGAATATAGGAAGAAATAACATGAATGAAATGATGATGGTCACATGCAGAAACATAAATATACAGGAAAGTGAGAAACCATTTAAAGGTGCACTATGTAGCTTTTCACCTGCTGGTCTCCATGGAGATATTACAGTTTTGCCTGGATTATTCCACAGTATGGAAATAAATTTGGTAATCACAATGGAGAATTCATGTTTTGTTTACATATTTTTGAGCTATAAAACACCTATAATTGAACAAATGGAGGGAAGATATGTCTAATGCCCTACTGTGGGACATTCCAGGCAAAGAAATGAAATCTCCAAGGGGAAAAGCAGATAGAACACTACACTTTTAAGTAACATCCAGGAACTGGGGATAATGCCACACAATCTGATTCGTATTCTGTATATAAAAGTGAAAAGTATATTTGCGTTATAGTCTTAATTTGAGTGGCATTTTCCCCAAAGAGCAAAAAACATAAAATATACTGTATATGACGTAATGATAAAGAAAGTACAATAGCAAATAAATGAGTAAATAAACAAGAACAATATGAAAACCATGGCAAGATTAGCAACAATGTCATCTGTTCTAGCTCAAAACTAAATAATCAAAATATACCAAGCCAAGTTCACGTCTAATCAATACATTCCAGTCTCAGTTTAATTAACGTTTTTGGGCTAATTGTAAATCATACATAAACTCATGCCTCCATGTGTTGTTCTCACAGCTGTGTAAAGTTACAGCCACACATTCTGATGGGTTTGAGGTTTGTGGTCACTTTCTCAACTCAAAACAATAGCACATTCTTATATTCACAACATTTCAATATATTTACTTAGACACGTTTAAATATAGTGGACAAGGTTTTAAAAAGTATACAGTAGCATTGCTCTTAAAGGGCCTATATTACATAAAGCTGACTCTTGTGAACTTTACACCACATTAGGTTGTTGTTACCTCATCAAAACAGACCTGGAGTTGTGTTTTGTTTCATTCACACATGTTCTTGTAACAAGTGGTGTAGTGGGGATTTTTTAAGTGGGGGTACGCAGTTCATGTATGAACCAGGACTAAACCAGAACTAAACCAGGACTGAACCAGGACTGAACCAGGACTAAATCAGGACTAATGTTCGACTTGGAATTGGACGATAGCTATGTTTAGCCCCGTGGGGCCTGTCACCTGACAGTCTAAGTGGGTGTACCTCCAGGCCCATCCTGACACTAAGCCCTAGTTTAGTTCTGGTTTAGTCCTGGTTTAGTCCTGGTTTAGTCCTGGTTTAGACCTGGTTCAGTCCTGGTTCAGTCCTTGTCCTTCATGTCAAAGGTCACTATAGGACCGTACTGGAGATCAAGAGCCTATGCAGGTTTTTTTCACCATTGCCAATAGCTCCAGTTTGACATTTAAGTTGTAGATATTTTATATTTGTTATTCTTTTATATCTCATGTTGGGAGAAGTGGGTGGACGGACCGCTGCGTACCACGCCCACTATGCCCCTGCTTGTAACTGAAGCTCTTTTCCACCTTGTGATGTCACATAGTGAACTTTACATGTTAACTGCTACCTTTTACCTTTATCATCCAAATGATTCTAGTGAATGTGTATGGAGTTTTAAAACACAGTGGAGCACCTGTATTACCACATGACATCACAAAGTGAAACAGAGAGTTTTCTGCTTGAGAGAAGAACTCAGCCTAAATACGCAGGGTTTGTGTGTTAAACATGTGTGAATGAAACAAAACACAGCTTGATCTATAACAGAGGTCAGAAAATGGCGTAATATGGGCCCTTTAATGACAATGTATTTTAAAATGATCTATTTACAGTATGACTAATTAAAGGTTGGAGATATAATTGCTTTAAATAATATGTTATAGTGAATATGTATAGTATCGCTTATTTACCTCCACAGGACAAGCAAGTAAACTGAACTCAACTGAACTGAAGTCTCCACCAGGTCAAGTTACAGGTAAGATCTGTGAAGAGGCAATCCTGCTCACAGAAAGAACTGTAACTGAATAGCTCCCAGATAGATAAGTTCAATGCCATACTGTTGAACATTTGAGGTAAAGTTTTAACATCTCCAAGGAGACTACCAAGCAGGTAATGGACCCTCCACCAGAAATGTTACATAGTGCACCTTTAATTTTACCATGGAACTTATAATAAAACTTCACATCAATACGTTTTGTCCATGGATTGATAGAACTTTAGTTTCATATCTTCTCTTTGTGTGGAGTGAATCCCATATTATGTCAGATGCCCTTCCACAACAACAATAAGAGTTCTTTGTTTATACTGTATACATGATTCAATACACACTTTCTCCTAACCAAACACAAATATGCTGTTATTATTTTGCGGTACCCACGTCCAAGAACACTAAATCTAAACTGGAAATGACAAAAGATGCAATATCCCAAATGCCATGCTGATCCTAATCCACACGCCTGTTGCACCATGCGGTTGTCTCTCCACTATAGACCTGATTTATGCTTTGTCCTGACCACTGTTTCCTGGTGTGTGCGCGCACAGATAGAGAAGCAAAGGCCTGGGTAAATGATAAAACCACCCACACTCACAGCTCTCCACAATCCAACTATTGTGAGAGAGAGTTATGTCTGAGCCTCAGCCAATAGGGCACTAACAAGAGTCAGGCATCGCAAGACTATGATTTATGCAAGAACTTATGAAAATGATGATTAAATTACACATTCCAAGTCTTATTACTGACAATTGTTTACCGATAATTTAAGGGCTAAGTCTTAAAAATGCAAAAAATAAACCCACTAGTTCATTTTTAATTGCTGGTCCAAACTTATTACTCACTCTCCTAATGCATTCTTAGGATAATTAGTCACTGTAATGAGTTTATAAGCACTTTCAGATAACTTTCATGGTAAAACTACCAACTATTCTCCTAAAAGTCTTACTTCCTGGTTCACAGACAATAAAAAAGCTTTATATGCAGACAGCACAGTGGTCTAGTTTTGACCCTAACAGCTGCTTTTTACGAATAGTTCCTGGGGCATGACAACTTGTACTTAATTATGTGAAAAATAAAAATAGGTACATCCGCCATAAATTCGGCAGTATTATTAATTACAAATAGTGCTGACTTGTTCTGGGCTGATCCTGGTTTGAGCCCAATTTAGTCCCAAATTTTTATAGACAATAAATAATGATAAATGTAAATAATTGATTTGCCAAATTATTTCTATATAAGTTATTCAGTTTTGAGTGTCTATGGAAAAATTGAAAAAAATAATCTTGCTTCATTTTGCTGGTAAATGTTATTATAGTGCCAGTGTTTATATTTACTGCTTCTTAATTAGATCTTTAGATAGACAGATTAGATATTAGTTTTCACATTAGTAAACTCATCTTCCAGGGGTTGAAGTTGTATATTATATTATATTTATATTTTTCTCCACACAATTTCATTCAGTTTCTTTTGTAAATGCATATCGTTTATAATACATATGTTTATTTACAACAGCCGTGAGAACAACACTTATTTACTACCTGCACTAAACCTGCGCTCAGTATAATAGTAATAATAGTAAAAGTAATATAATATATGTTAAAATGGTGTCTTACCATTTGTGTGGAGGCACATCCAGAGCAGCACCAGAGGAAAGACTCCGCGCACGCTCCACCGTCCACCTCCAGCAGTGCACCCCCTAAAGGTCAAAGGTCACAAGCGTCAGAACATTGCATTACGTAAACAGTATACATAGATGAGAAGTACATAGTCAGCATGTGCTCCGCTGCGTTTTTAAACTTCATACACCTTCATTAGAATCATTTGGATCATTTCAGCCCTGGAAATGCCAGTCTCTGCTGAACAAACAATAAATCGTAGCTATTAGTTTGAAAACTACTGCTTCATGACATCACAAGGTGGAACAGAGCATTTTGAGCTTTGGAAATGTAGACAGAATAATAATAAAGGATTACTCAAACATGTGTGAATGAAAGAAAACACAACTCCAGGTATGTTTTTGAGGAGGTAAATTTATAACATGAAGTAAAGCTCACAAGAGTCAATTTTATGTAATATAGGACCAGTAATCATTAGTTGAAGATGCTTTTTAGAATAACAGCTCATTAACTTCTATCTTCTTATAAATAAGAATGACTGCTACAAGACTTGGTTCATTCATCTGATACCTTTAAGCATTATAAGAATGAACAAAAGCAAAAAGGTCCAAAAGATGTAGTTACAGTTATACAATAATACAATAATAAAATATAGGGTAAATAAAATGTCTAACTATACTTTCTGTAGCGCATTCATTCCTTATCTATTTCTCTTGTCTTAGCCTTAGCCGATGGACACTACCTTGGCCCTTTAACAGAATACAGCATAGATTAAATATCACAAAATGATTAAATTAATATGCAGAATGGATTTCACATCGACTAGTGCAGGGCTTTGTGAATGAGAAAAATTGTAGTGCCTTAAAAGCATGGAATCAATAACAGCTCTGATCTTTTATAATGCTGTGAAACTGTAAATCATCATTGGACTTTGATGTGTGAGTCCTGTAATTCAAAATGTATTTTATGTCAATAGCACCTCCATGAACGTCATGTACTGCAGTTTTCCTGATAAAAGAGAGGATGTTTTTAAAAGATGTCAAAGTCATATTTCCAGGGCATGTTTTTTCAATTAACCTGAGCTGTATGTACAAATCCAACCATAAACTCAAAGTCTGTTGAGGTACTTTGCCTCTCAACCAATCACTCACTGATCATTTTAAATACACACTACAACACTCCATGCTAGGCCTGATTTGTAAAAATACTGAATTGCAATTTTTCTGTTTGATTTGAGATGTATGTTATAAAATCTAAACTACAGGATTAGCAGTTTTACGTAAAACAAAACTGGATATTTTGTTGTTTGTGGAAGAAATTTTGGAACTTCAAAAACTGCAGCCTTTGTTTCCATTCATTGCAGTTAATCTTGCAGCCCCACTCCTGAAAACTGAACTCAAATCTTTTAATGTGACTAAGTAGGATTATACACTAGTAAGATACTTTTACTCCTGCAAATCTACATTACACAAAAAACATTTCATCCAACAGATTCCAGTGTGTCCTCTGCTGTATAAGAAACAATGTTTCCAACAACTCCTGTTCCTGAAAAGCAGCGTGAGTTTTCTAGTTAAACCATCAAAGGTTTTTATTTAGTAAACAATGCCACTACTTCCCTTATGGTAAAACAGGCTCATCCAGACTGGGTGAGGGCAAGAGAAATCATATGTGAACTGATGGACAACTGGCATTTGTAAATCATCTTACATCATCATCATCATCATCATCATCATCATGCACAAAGCTTTTCTGTTGGACGGTCATCTGCCGGTTTATCTCCATCAAGATATTATTGGTTTACCTGGAATGTTCCATAGTATGGCTTTAAATATATCTGTCTTGAATTTATTTGATTACAAGTGTTTTGCTAATAATTAATGATCCACAGATCTGACCTCAGAGCCGTAGCTTGCCATCCGGATGCCTTATGCATAGACGCTTTGATGTATTGTCTGACCTGAAACTTGTCCTAACAGCACTATCTGCTTATTAACCTGGGAATAAATATGTTAAATGTCACACAATGGGACCTATAGGTAAAGCAAGGACATCTCCACGGAGACAAGAAACTGGTTGACTCTTCAGCAGAACAGTAGTGCACCTTAATTCAAACGCACTCACAAACTGACTGAGACAGAGCCGTCTGAATGGCTCTGGAGATCAGGCCTGTTCTCTGTAAACAGCTCAGTCAGTTTGAGGATAAATCTGAATGATGACACTTCAGATATTTGTTTGTGATAGAAACAAATGAGGAGAACTTCCTAAAAACACACTTCCCCAGTGTTTACCAAACACAGACAGGTTGGATGGTTAAACAGAGCATGACCTCCCATTCGTCTCAAACAGAAATATGTCAAAAAAAAAAACAAAAACAAAAACAAACAAAAAAAACATAAGAGAATGAAGAGTAATGACAGACAGGCTTTGTCACCAAATAACATGGGCTCAAAACATCCTGTCTCAAGACAAGCTAGAGTCCATAAGTTAAGATTTTGCAATATTTTATAGTAAATAAATGTAACTGAGCACCTTTCTTTCAAGCCAAATGTTAGCACGCACAAAAGAAAAAAAACATCTTTTTTCCACATGTGCTCAATCTTGAGGTAGTTTTATCCTGAAGGATCTTGTGGCACGAAATCTGCTCCAGTCCATTTAAATAACAGCGTAACACTACTGTTTGCTCGAAAAAACTCAACAGCCTTATGTCCGTCTATTGTTAGTTCCCTTTGATTGTGGTGAGGCACTTTTTTATCAGGTGAAACAGAAAAGGCACACCAAAATTCTTGTAGAGGTGCAAATGCAATGAGCAGCAACATAAAAGTGAAAAAATGCATAGCACTCTGAACACACATACTACTTCTGTAACCACAGCTGTCCTGGGCCAGACTGGGAGACGTGGCTGCCACAGTGTGACTACTGCTCCTCTGATAGATGAAGAGCTTTATGTCCCAAGTTAGAGAAGTATTCACAGAACAGACCTTCTAGCACACAGCCAATAAAATGCAGTATTTTACACTCATGTCATTGCTGCAGTGCAAAGTACAAGATTTCTGTCCTCCCTTATAAAAAACATCTGCAGTTCAATATTTATTCTTAGTCTTTACAATACTTCATTATCCTTCTGTTTAAATAAGTAGAAATGAAATGTTGAAGCCCAGATTTAAAATTCAAAAGGTGCAGAAAGAATAGCAGAGAGTTGTGGAGAGAACCCCAAACTTTTAATGAAGTCTTTGGATCTGTCCCACCTTTCCATTGTGGTGCACTTATGCGCATGCAGCCACTGGCATTAATATTAAAAGCCTCTCAGAACAGAACAGTGTCTATGTGAACCACTGTCCACTGCACACACACAAATTCATGCATGTGCTGACATTCAGACTCAAGTCCAGTCTTTGTGGGAGCACGGGGTCCTTCCTCTGTCCCCTCCTCCCCAAGTAGTCCACCAAGACCACAGACCTGACCACATAAAGGCTCCAATTCATGCACCCAGGACTGGCCTCGGGCGGACATTTTGAAAAGCAAAGATACTGGACGTTACAGTGACAGAGGAGAAGAGACAGTCCGAAGAATGTTAGAAATGTGATTTTGGGAGATGTCACCTTCTTTGTGACAGTTTGAAGGTATTCAAATTCATAACATATGTTTTATTTCTTACTTCTTCTTCTTTCTTACTTCTCTTTCTTTTTTTATATCATTGTTCAAGCCTATAATCAAGTCCTAGCTATGGCCCACTCACTCATTTTTCTTGTCCCTCTGGCTTTCTGGTGAATTAGCTCAAATGCACAAGTAGTTTTTCACTGTAATTGTTTAAGACATTATGCAGTGTGGCCCATTTAGTTTCTAATCTTGAATAAAGGTCTTGCATATAGTTCAGTCTGTGCTAAAACACTTTCATTTGAATTGTTCACTTTACTGACTAGGGCTGGGTATCATTAAAAAGTTGCTGATACGATACATACGTCAGTACATAGGCTATGATACGATGTGTGTCTCAGTACAGTGCATTTTTGATTCAATATGACACACACTGCTCAAAAAAATTAAAGGAACACTTTGAAAACACATCAGAACTTAGTGTGAAAAAAAAAAATATGCTGGATATCTATACAAATATGGACAGGAAGGCCTTAAGACTGTTCCTAAGAATGGTCTTAGGAACAATAGGATGCCACCTCCTTTAATGGAAATAAAATGTTCAGATTACAGAGGGCTTTATTTTATAGACATTCTGAAAATCAAAGTGAAATAATGATGTGGCAGGCTACTCCATTATGACAGAATTTAATTTCTGCAACTCAAAATGCTTCTCAATATTTTCTGTGGCCCCCACTTCTTCACTCCAGGAGCCTGTTCGAGGTCATTCTGTAGATCACGGGCACTGCTCAACCTCTTCCTTCTTGCACAAAAGAGCAGATATTGGTCCTGCTGATGAGTTGAGGACGTTCTACGGCCCTGTCCAGCACTTCTAGAGTAACTGTCTGTCTCCTGAAAAAATGGTTTTGAGCAGTATGTTTAAAATCAATCTGATACGGTTCAGTAAAGAATAAAGGCTTTCAGCTTCTTACTTAAGTACATTTTGTTTAGTGTGTGTTACTAACTAAAAGAACACTCAGACTTTTGCACTGGGCATTACTGACTCATATCTTATCATGGCTGTGATATTATCTGTCCAAAGAGAATATGAAATACACCCACTTTCATCATTAAACAGTGAACAAGCCAGTTTCCTTCCTTTAAACAAGCAGCACATTGTAGCACTGTCACAAAATAATATGGTAAAAACTCTCTTGGCGATTTATCGACACAGCACAGCAATATTTGAATGTGAATAAGCCACTTGATGAAAAAAGTTTGGATAGCCCCTGGTTTAGACTAGTTTATCCTTGGCGTATCCTATGCTCTGTCCTGATTTAGTTTTCTTGTAATTTTTCTGTGATCATTGTGTTTTGCTATATAAATCCAAATAAATTAATTGATCGATTGTTTATTCCTTAAATGGAGTTTTCTTTAGTGGAATGTGACATATGACCCTGAAACCCTTTAAAATAACAGATGTAACCCAAACAAATACACCAGGATA